CAGGTGGTTCATGGTCACCTTGTTGCCCACCAGGACTCCCAGGTCTTTCTCCTCAGAGCTGCTCTCCAGCTGGTCCCCCCAACCTCTCCTGGTCCATGGGGTTATTCCTCCCCCGGGGCAGGACCCCCCTGCTCTTGCCCTCCTTGGATTTCATCTCTCCCCCCAGCTCTACTCACCCCACGGCTGCTCCTCACACCCACGGGCAGCCCCGTCCCCAGGACACGGGTGACACTGGGCAGCCTTGATGCGCTTTAATAAACCCTGGGCTGCCCCATTTGGCCGCGGGCAGGTCCCGGGGCCGGCCCAGCATCTCCTTGTCCCTGCTCTCCAGCTCCATGGGGCTCCTGCCAGGCCCTACACCACTGCTCCTCCCCAGGTCCCCATCTTCAGCCTTGTCCATGTCCTCTGCTCCAAGGTGTGGGGGCTTCATTCTGGCCCCCGGCTGCTCCCGTGTCTCCATCCTGCCCAGGGGATGGGAGGGCTCCCTGGGGGGTGTCCCATCACGGGTCCCTGTTGTCCCTTGCTGCTGGGCCAGCTCTGCTTGCAGCATCTCACAGCACTTCTTCATCACCTCCTGTTGGGCCTGGAGAGCGTGGAGGAGCTCCAGCATCAGGTCCCCCTTGCCTGTGGCCACGGCTGGGGGGCTGCCGGGGGAGGACACGGAGTCCAGGGAGGCCTGTGGGGCCCCCGGGGATGGGCCCTCCCTGCTTGACACCTCCACACTGTCCCTGCAGAGGAGAAGAGAGAAGAGACCCCACTTCACCACCAGATCCTGGTGGGACCCCCTCCTCATCAGGGCTGCCCAGTGCAGTCAGGGGCAAGGACATGGTGAGGGTCTGGGGCAGGAGCTGGGGGATCCCCCACACTCACTGCATCCATCCCTGGAGGTTACCTGGAGTTCTCTCCTCCTCCATCCCCTGGTGGAGAAGCTGTGGATGGAGAGGATGGAGTGAGCTCAGGGCTGCCATGGGGTGCCGGCCGTTGGCCGGGTGCTGGCTGGTGGGGCCACTCACCACTCCGCTCCTCCAACCGGGCTCTCCCCAACCTCATCCCATGCTGCACCTTCTTCCACTGGCTCTGCAGGACCTCCCAGAGCTGCGTGAGACAGGGGAAGATCCCCACCCTTTGCCACAGCCCCTCACACCACCCCACACCATCGTCTGACTCCAGAGCCGGAAACCAGTTCCCATCCATGGCTGAGTCCAGTCTGGGACTTTCCCAGGGCCTCCTGGTGACAGCATCCTAGGAGCATGAGATGGTGTTGTCCATATTGTTCCTATGTCATTGCTTCCTTTTAATTTTAATATTAATATTTCCTTAAAGTAGTTTTGTTCCTTCTACACTGGTAAATCTCTGTATTTCTCCTCTTCTCCTGGGAGCGAGAAGTGGGGGGATAGTATCTGTCACCTGTAATAGGCCAATTTGTCATGTAATAGGCCAACAAACCACATGAAGAGGGCAATCAGACACCCCCTTAGGGGAACCCCATCGGCCCCCCATGCCCTTCCCTGGCGAGTCCCGGCCAATGGGAGGGGCTCAGGAAAGGCTGGGATATCTCTCTGGAAATGAGAACTGGCAGAAGGTGTGGAGAAAGAGGAGAAGAAGGGGAGAAAGGGAAGGAGAAGAGGAGAAGGAGAAGGAGAAGGAGAAGGAGAAGGAGAAGGAGAAGGAGAAGGAGAAGGAGAAGGAGAAGGAGAAGGAGAAGGAGAAGGAGAAGGAGAAGGAAGGAGAAGGATTTTCCATTATTTACCAGCAGTCATGTCTAACCAGGGAGGTCTCAGTTGACTAGTGTCTAGCCAATGTGATGCCCATCTACAAGAGGGGTGGGAAGGAGGGTCCAGGGAACTCCAGGTTTGTCAGTCTGACCTTGATGCCTGCGTAGGCCATGGAACAGATCACCCTGAATGCCAACATGCGGCACATGAAGGACAACCAGGCCCAGTCAGGAGGGGTTCGTGAAAGGCAGGTCCTGCTTGACAAACGTGTTTAGCTTGGAGAAGAGGAGGCTGAGGGGAGACCTCATTGCCCTCTACAACTACCTGAAAGGAGGGTGTAGAGAGGTGGGGGTTGGCCTCGTCTCCCAAAGGAATAATGACAGGACCAGAGGTAATGGTATGAAGCTGCGGCAGGGGAGATTCAGATTAGATATTAGGAAGAATTACTTTACTGAAAGAGTGGTCAGGCCCTGGCACAGCCTGCCCAGGGAGGTGGTGGAGTCACCATCCCTGGAGGGATTTAAGAAACGTGTAGACGTGGCTCTTCAGGGCATGCTCTAGTGCCCAAGATTATTGGTTTGTGGTGGGGTGTAGTGTGTGGGGTTGTGGGTGTGGGGTTTAGTTGGTGGGTGGTGGTTTTGGGTTTGTTGTTTTTGTGGTGGTTGTGGGTGTTGTTTTTTCTTTTGTTTTGGTGGTGTTGTTTTTTTGGTTTTTTTTTTGTGATTGGACTCGATGATCTTGGAGGTCCCTTCCAACCACTAAGATTCTGTGATTCTGTGATTCTGTGATTCTGCGATTCTATGACAAAGTGACCTGCCTGGTGGATGTGGAAAGGCTGTGGATGTTGTTAGCCTGGACTTTCATAAGGCCTTTGATACGGTTTCCCACCGCATCCTCCTGGAGAAACCATCAACCTGCTGGAGGGTAGTGCTCAGTGATATGTTTTAGTGGTGGTTTTTGTCAGTGTTGAGTTGATGGTTGGACTTGATGATCTGAAAGGTCCCTCTCAACCTCAACAGTTCTATGATTCTATGCTGGTGGCCTTCTTGGCCAACTTGGGCACACTGCTGGCTCATATTCAGCCCCTGTTGACCAACATCCCCAAGTCCTTTTCTATGGGGTAGATCCAGCCACCCTTCCCTGAGCCTGGAGCATCCATGGGGTTGGTGTGACCCAAGGGCAGGACCCGGCCCTTGGCCTTCTTGAACCTCAAGAGCCAGAGATCATTCAGCCAGAGTTGATCAAGCTGTTATTTAATGCTGGGCTGCATCCTCAGCAGCATGGCCAGCAGGTCACGGGAGGTGATTCTACCCCTCTGCTCTCGTGAGACAGAATCACACAGAATCACAGAATCTTCATGGTTAGAAGGGACCTTTGAGATCATTGAGTCCAAGCATACACACACAAACACACACACAAAGGAAAAAAATCCCAAACACAAAACCAAACCATTCAACCCAACAATCTCAGGCACTAGAGCAGGCCCTGAAGTGCCACGTCTACAAGTTTCTTAAATACCTCCGGGGATGGTGACTCCACCACCTCCCTGGGCAGGCTGTTCCAGGGCCTGACCACCCTCTCAGGAAAATAATTCTTCCTAAGATCTAATCTAAACCTCCCCTGCCTCAACTTCACACCATTTCCTCTGGTCCAGTCATTATTCCCTTGGGAGAAGAGGGCAACCCCCACCTCTCTACGACCTCCTTTCAGGTAGTTGTAGAGGGCAATGAGGTCTCCCCTCAGCCTCCTCTTCTCCAAACTAAACATGCCCAGTTCCCTCAGCCTCTCCTCATAGGACTTGTTCTCTAGACCCCTCACCAGCTTGGTGGCTCTCCTCTGGACACACTCCAGCAGCTCAATGCCCATCTTGTAGTGAGGAGCCCAGAACTGAACACAGTAGAGCACCATCACTTCCCTATCCCCACCTGGAGTACTGCGTCCATCCCGCTTTGGAATCCTCAGCACAGGAAGGACATGGACCTGTTGGAAAGGGTCCAGCAGGTGGCCACTAAAATAATCAGAGGGCAGGAGCACCTCTCCTGTGAGGACAGGCTGAGAGAGCTGGGGTTTTTCAGCCTGGAGAAGAGAAGGCTCTGGGGGGAACTTTGAGCAGCCTTCCAGTACCTACAAGGGAGCCTACAAGAGAGCTGGGGAGGGACTCTTTGTCAGGAAGTGTAGCAATAGGACAAGGGGTAATGGTTTTAAATTGAAAGAGCAGAGATTTAGATTAGATACTAGAAAGAACTTTGCTGTGAGGGTGAGGAGAGCCTGGTCCAGTTGCCCAGAGAAGCTGTGGCTGCCCCATCCCTGGAGGGGTTCAAGGGCAGGTTGGAGAGGGCTTGGAGCAACCTGCTCTGGTGGGAGGTGTCCCTGCCCAGGGCAGGGAGTATGAATTTGATTATCTTATAGGTCCTTTCCCACCTGAACCGCTCTATGATTCTAGGATTCTGTTTTATTGAGGGCTGAACAGGAAATGCAGGGGTGTAAAATATGGGTCACTGGGGAATGCTCTGCCATTCACTGCACACGGAATTAGGGTGGGATACAAAGGTCATGGTCATCCCCTCAGCTTCTGGTATGTATCTTAAATGTACATATCTAAAATGATTATATATCTAAAAATCAATATCTAAAATCCATGAAATCATTGAAGGGTGGAGGTTGGAAGGGACCTCTCAGGTCATCAAGTCCAACCATCAACCCAATGCTTACAAACTGTGATGGAAAGGGAAAAGGGCTTCCCTGAGAGGTCCCAATGAACAATGTCTTTGGAGCTCACTCACAGGTCCAATACATCACTGTTGAAGATTCTATGGGTACAATGGCCAATGCACTATCACAATTTAAAAGTAATTCACGGAATACAGTATTACAAACCACAAGTCATCCCCCAAAGTAACACCACAAACCACAAGCGCGCTAGATATCATAAAAGAGTGCACTAGTCACGATCTTAATAGCCTCTCTTCTCCAGACTGAACCCCTGCAACTCTCTCAGCCTGTCCTCACAGCAGAGGGCCTCCAGCCCTCCCAGCATCTCCATGGCCTCCAATGGCCCTTTTCCACAGGTCCATTTGCATGGAGCACCTGGTGCTGGGATTGGTGCTGCTGGCTGGGGCCCTGGCCACCGGCAACGCCCTGCACAGGCAAGAGCTGGAGCCCACCAAGGAGATGAGGCTGGACATGGCTCCCACCACCTTTGATGACCAGTACAAGGGTTGTATGGAGATGGGGATGGAGAGGAGCTGGGGGAGCTCAATCGCATTGAGTTCACCAACAACACTTTCTACTGGAACCATGCTGATGCTGAATGGTGGAACTGGGAGGGGTTCATGTCCCCCAGATGCCGGTGCTGCAGAGGGAGCATTTGGTGTCCGTCCTGGCATAGACCCTGCATGGAACCCTGTACCATGAGTTCAATGGGGCCGTGCGTGAGGCCAGATGCTCCCGCAGGGAATACCTGGACAAGTTTCACTTCAAGGTGCTGCATTTCCTTCTGCCCTGAGCACCCTGTGGAACGCTCAGCCCAGCCGCGGCCACCAGGTCTGCTGGGGTGTCTGGGGCCTCCGCTTCACTGCCCAACACCAAGATCTTATCCGCTTCAGCCAATTCACCTCCACCTCCCTCCAGAACAAGAGCACCCTAGACTTTGGTGAGTGTACACCTGCTACGGCATCACCATCAGAGACTTCTCCTTCTATCCCAACAAGGATGAGGCCCCCATCCTGCCCTACAAGGATTTCTAGGTCACCAACATCACCAGACATGGGGACAGAGCCTGCATCCAGTTCCACTCTTGAGACACATTCAGGACCTACTACTGCGAATGGGTAAAAGGTGACATCACCCGTGACGCTCCCTCCATCCCCTGGATAGACCCTCAATCCACTGGGATGGCCCCACCATCCCCCGGGATGGTCCTTCCATCCCTTGGGATGTTCCCTCCATCCTGTGGGATATTCCCTTCATCCTCTGGGATGGTCTCTCCAACCCCAGAGATGGTCCCTTCATCCCCTGGCATGTTTCCTCCATCCTCGGAATGGTCCCTCCGTCCCTTGGGAAGGTCTCTCCATCCACGGGACAGTCTCTTCATCACCCAGGATGGTCTTTCCATCCCCTGAGATCGTCCCCCCATCCCCGAAGATGACCACTACCCTTTGGAGGGTCCCTCCATCCCTGGGATGGTCCCTCCATCTACTCAGATGGTCCCTCCCTGCCATCAGGTGCAGGGAACAGGGGGCAGGGAGTGGCCCCTTCCCACCAGCTCTGCTTGGAGAGGGGGACCTCAATTGTGGGGAGGGGAACAGGGGAGCTAGGCTTCAGGTGGGCATCATAGAATCATAGCATCATATGGGGTTGGAAGGGCCCTCTGGAGATCATCAGGTCCAACCCCCCCACCAGAGTGGGTCTACCTAGAGCAGGTTGCACAGGATCTTGTCCAGGCGGTTTTTGAATGTCTCCAGAGAAGGGGACTCCACC